GGAATGGAAGGAGGAAACAAAAAAAAACCATTGTTTCAAATGCAATTTTCAACTAAGGCAGCACCCACTAAATTCCAGGTTGGGAGCAGGGACTCTGAAATTCTCAGCGGCACAGATTTTCATTCAAACACGAGGGAAAGGGAGCTCCAGAAGGTAGAGTGGCACAGAAACCGCAGCCAGCAGCTCAGCAGGTGGAAGGGAGCACGCAGGCCACGGCAGACTCTTGTGGTGGGGGGTGGGGTGAAGAGAAGCCCGTGGCACCACAGCTCTCCCGCCTCTCCAGGGACCAAGACCCTCTGCACAGCTGGCCAGTCACTTACCTCTAAGGCACAGTTCTGGGACTCCCCTGAGACGGGAGGCGGCAACGCAACAGAAGCCACCAGGCTCCTCCCCCAACTCAGGGACTCACTGCGTGGACAGAGGGTGGGCTGCACCCAAAGATCTTTCCCTCCTGGCTCATGCATACTTTTGCCTACGCTACCCCTGGGCCAGGTTTGGGTCACAGGATCAGAGAGATGGGACAATGATTAGACTTGGGGGACGAGACCCGATAGAATCACTTCAAAAAATCTAGCAGGATCCTGACTTGTCCCGGCTGATTATTCAGACCCTTCCTTAGCTTCTCCTCATTCGTTCTTGTTACTCCTCAGAAAGCAGAAGGGAATTATAAGGAAGTGGCAGCCTCAAGCACTGAACAAGGGGTCGGGAGACAGGTCAGGGCACCCACCCGGCGCTAACCCACCCAGGGCCCTCCCAGTCCTTGCTTCCTTGGTCTGGAACTCGGGGCTTTGGCCTGTTCCATTCCCCTGACTGCACAGTCCCCATGTTTCCAAGTCTTTCTGATCTGTAGGTGTAACTTGTGTGGACGAGTGGCCTGTGTAGCTGCCAGCTGGACCTTTGGCATGTGTGACAACCAGAGGGAGGGACTCTGCGGCCCCGCGTGCTGCCCTTGGCCTGTCCACTGGCCTCCGTGGCTGGTCCTGGGGAATCAGGATTCCCCCGAGATGGCTTTAATATCAACTGTGCCCGTGGTAGGAAGAGGTTAGGTTCGTCCCCTACCCCCAGCCCCATCTTTCTAAGGTTCCAGGACTCGGGAGAGCTTGCTTCAGAGGCCCTGCTGACAAGTCCTGGAGGAGGCAGGACAGCTCAGCCGAGTCAGGACACCCGAGTCTCCTCACTGTACTTGAGAACTGCCTGGTCTCCCCTCACCTTCTTCCACAGCACCCCCTTCCATACTCTCCTCACCAGTTAGGGCTCAGGCTCAGCCATCTCTGGGAGGCCTTCCCTACATGCGTGGGCACTTTTAACTTTGGTGTCTGGGCACCTGCCTTCCACTCCCTCAGAACACAGACCCCTCCCGGGAAGGAGCGACAGCAGTGGGTTTCTGCGCAGGGCCGACAGAGCAGGTGCTCAATGAGTGTCTGATGGCTATGGCAAGTGACTAGTGGCTCAGCCCTTCCCAAAGGCAAGTTCTAGGAACAATACAGGCATATGCTTTTTGACTTGGCCCTTCTACTTGTAGGCATGGATGCTCCAGACACCAGACAAGAGCTCACAAATGTCTCTCAGATTCAGCACTATTTTTAGCAGCAAAAACTATAACTTAATAGTTTACCGGCGGAGAACTGTTTACCAACAGAGAACTGGTAAAATTATGTAGCCACTGAAATACATTAGAGTTACTTATGCCAACACAGAGAGATCCAGAATATAAGGAAAAAGGGATTACAGAACACTGTACATACTAGGGCCCTATTTATATTAAAATATATATTGTCCTTGTGCTTGTGTGAATAAAAGTTTAGAAGAGCAATTCTCTGAGTGGAGTCCCCTGTAGGAGTTATGGAGTGTAAAGGGCTATTGAAAACAAAACATGAGAACAGAACAGCTGAGTAAAGTGGCTCTTTTAGGAAAATGGTGGGAATAAAGGGCAACACTCTTTACGCTAAACACTTCTGTATCATCTAAAAGTTTTTACAGAAAGCATGTACTGATTCTGTATTTCATCTAATAATCTCCACATCTGAAGTCTTTGTGAGTCTAGTTCTGTTGGTGGTTTCTGCTGACGGTGGTGCTTGTTTCCTTCTACCATTTTTATTATGAGCTCATTCTGGGGAACCTTAGTTGTGGGAATTCTGTGTGGCCTCGGTTGAGAATACATTTCTCAAAATCGGGTGCCAGGGGCTCACCCATCCGGGGCTGTTTTAGATTAGAAAACTCAGTCTGTGGCTTTTTGGTCCTCACCAAGGCTGTGAACACAGGCCCAGACTCAAGGAAGGGCCTGCCAGTGACGACAAACTCAGAAGGGCTTTTCTCCCCACCCCGCTTTCCATCCTGAGCCGAGAGTGAGGTGGACAAGTTTTCCAGTAAGTTTTAAAAAAGTTTACCTTTTCCCTGAACGTCCTGTTTTGTGAGTGGGTGGGGGTGGAGGTTCTACTCCATTTCCTCCCCATGCGGGCCTAAAGCTTCTGTCCCTTTCCTTTGGGTGTGCCCACCTGGGATATGAGGACACCCAGAGGCGTCAGGGCTCACTCTGTTCCTTGGATTCGTGTTCCCACTTCGTTCCCGGCCTCTGGAAGGTTCCCATCCCTTTCTTGCAAGCACAATCCTTTCATTCAACAGCGTGTGTTTAATTGTTCACCTGGCCTTAGTGTGTCGTGGACGGAAGTAGCATGGTCTCTAGCTCACTGGAGTGGCCCAGTTTTACTCTTCCAATCAGCAAAAACAAAGATGTCTTCATTCTTCAGAATCAGCTAACTCTGGGGAATGAGGCAATAGCCACTGACTGTGAAGACCCCCTGCCACACCCCCGGCCCCGGGACTCACCTTGTAACAGGTGACCTGCTCCAGCGGCCGGGGTCCCCGGTTGCCTGCACTGCTGTTTTGACTCTGCATGACCCCGATGACCTGCGGGGCTCTCTGCTGGTTGGGAGAAGAGTTCTGACTCGTTAACTGGATCAAGGAGGACGACCTTTGTAATGGCGGATTGTTACTTTGCTGGAAAGAGTTATACAACACGGTTTTACTGCGGAAAACACGTGCACGCAGACTACCAATGGGGACAGGAAAAAAGAGGGCGGGACTTCTCCCGCATGACCGTGACCAGCAGGAAGAAGGGCTTCCACGGTGGCCCGGCTCGGGAGAGTAGGTGGAAAAGAAACGTCTGGTGACGGTGGCAGGAGCCGCTGCCCGAAAAACACCATGCAGACACACAAAAACGAAAAATAAAAGAAAACAAAACACCAAAGAGCCGAGGCGGTCTCTGGGGCGGCAGGGCGAGGGCATGAGCAGGCCTTACTTTTGTTTGTGAGGTTCTAGCTTCAGGTCAGGATGAACGCTTGGTTCAGCCAGGTGTTTAGAGCCTACACGGCGGGCAACAGTCACAGAAAACAGTCGGAGGCTGACACGCTGACCTGCGGTCTAGGGGCTGAGAGGGCCCTCCGCTAGGGAGCCGCGTGAGCAAGGCGGACAGGGGCACCTGGGGTGAGGCCTGGACAGCAAGGCCACCGCCGACTGACTGACTGGGTCCCTGGCTGTGGCCCCGTCATTGCAGGAGCCCTAAGCTGGAAACCCCAGGTTGTCATGGCCGCACCCACACGCAGGAATG